CGATGACATTCCAATACCGTAGGTATCCTTGAAGGCAGCATTATTTGGGAGGGCAGATGACATTTCCATACCGTAGGTATCCTTGAAGGCAGCCTTATTTGGGAGGGCAGATGACATTTCCATACCGTAGGTATCCTTGAAGGCAGCATTATTTGGGAGGGCAGATGACATTTCCATACCGTAGGTATCCTTGAAGGCAGCATTTTTTGGGAGGGCAGATGACATTTCCATACCGTGGGTATCCTTGAAGGCAGCATTTTTTTGGAGGGCAGATATAAGTGATGGAGTACTCCCTCGGAAGTAAGGCGGCTGAAATCTGCCTCAACACAATTCGTTTCGGAGGTCGAATCATTATCGATGTACATACCTATGTAGTTAAATGTAGTTAAATGTTTCTAGTGAGCGATACAACGCCATGTGCGATATTAATTGAGATGTTGGAAGATGTACCAGAAGTCCAATGGGGTGAGGTAAAAGTAAAGAGTCGGTTTGAAACGGGGAACAGTGAGAAGGTTTGGCATCTTTCAGTTTACATGACGCAGATGGTGTTTTCCACAGCTAATCCTTTCTGACATGTCTATTGATATTTTAAATGAATCAGTACAACAGAGGTATACAGGTAATTCATTTAATCTGCCATAACTGATATTCAAGGAAATCCATGCGTTGTCACGTGCTCAAACACAAGACGTGCATTTACAAGAAGCACCAATGCATTTGTCAACACTTTTCTGCATTTATTACGAAAGGGCCCCTTTCTCCAGTTACCAAAAGGCCAAACTACTCCCAATTTACCCTTTGTGCACAACACGGGTATCAGGAAATCAAAGACGTAAACGTAGGGCAATGTCAACACGGTGTTCAAACGGTACAAGTTGTGTAATATAATATACCACATGTATGTAAATAGCCAGACTCAAGTTAGGACACATTCAGTTTATTTTACGAGATATGTCTCTGTAGTCTAAGATTTATACCACCACACTATCCTGGATCTGGGTTATGTAACAGGCCCTCCTTGCTGCTATTCACTTCTCCGGAGCGCGTCACCACGTACCTCATCAGGCCTTTACGTGGTTTCTCCCACCCTCACATAACGCTCTACCTTCAAGACGTGACACAGGCTCTGTGTGTGAGACAACATATAGGCTCAAGTACCTAACAGTATGTACATCACATTCAATCGCATACTGCAATGTTGTTCATCATCCTAACCTCCACTGTGTGTTGTGTGGCTGAGACAAACATACTTAAAGAGGACTTGGGGTAGAAAGAACCTTCCCACGGCTGTTGACAGATGCAGTCACATCAACATCACCCATCTCCTGAATCTACCCGTGTATTTGTCATGTCAAGTTCTCTGTATACTGGATTGCTTTACAACACTACACTCTAATACCCTGTGACTGTTTACGGATGTTGTAACTTGACTACGTCCAGTTTAGCGAAATCCACATAGTACTAGTATACACTGCCGACCAAAAGAAAGTTTACACCCATGTTTTATGGTGGCTTTAAATGAACCAATAACAAGACAAGGTTATTCCATATTGATGTATTGCAGCATGTTTGAAGTGTTTCGGCGACTGATTTCAGGGTAGTAACGTTTTAAAACCGCTTGTAATATGTTTAGTCAAATCCAATTTTCAAGTGTATACTTTCTCTTGCCCGACAGTTAAGTCGCCCAATATATATACATTGTCGTATCAGTCGTCACACAGGCTAGGATTCCTTTTCATGCTGAAGCTATGTTGTCAGCATTAGTAATGCTAGATCACGATTTTAATATTCAGATATTCAGTGAAATTGCCATCTGTCTGCTGGTATGTTCCCAATCACGTGTTCTTCCAACGACACAACATGAGTACCCGACACACCAACAACTGTCATACCACCTCCAAATTAATTGCTCCAAACTCAACGGGGATGAGCCCAGTATTATCACCGCCACCTACTGTACAGACAACTAGATATGACAAACGTTGAAAACACATAAGAGCTACATCACTTCGGACTTCGGAATTTCTCCCCTGATAGTTGACAAGGCGCGACAAACCAGACTCATTCAACGACGCACTCACTCACGCAAACGATTGATGTTTTCCCTCTACTCCACTTACCCCCTCCGCTACACCCAACACCCTCCCACAACCAATGGCAACGTAGAAACGGTTAACCCACTCATGTTACCATCAACACAAGAAATAATCGCTTATCGCTCCACAACAAGCAAACCACGTGCACCAATACTAGTTACGGCTATCAGCTCTTGATTGATGTCCATAACATAACTAAAACACAACAACACCCCAACACTCCAACACCCCAACACCCACACACAACAACACCCTTACACCTCAACACCCCAACACCCCAACACCCCAACACCTCAACACCCCAACACCCCAACACCCCATCACCCCAACACCTCAACACCCCAACACCTCAACACCCCAACACCTCAACACCCCAACACCTCAACACCCCAACACCTCAACACCCCAACACCCCAATACCCCAACACCTCAACACCCCAACACCTCAACACCCCAACACCTCAACACCCCAACACCCCAACACCCCAACACCCCAACACCCCAACACCCCAACACCCCAACACCCAACACCCCAACACCTCAACACCTCAACACCCCAACACCCCAACACCTCAACACCCCAATACCCCAATACCCCAACACCCCAACACCCCAACACCCCAACACCCCAACACCCCAATACCCCAACACCCCAACACCCAGACACCCCAACACTCCAACACCTCAACACCGAACGCCTACGGTCACTGATGGCAGGGGTAGTTTGGTGGAGAGACAGTGACCGACAGCCGCTCCTCACACTATCTGTTGACACGGAGCCAGACACAAGAACAGCCCGGGGTAGACCTCTGGCGTCGCATTCACCGACACAGCCTCTGTCAACATCGACATACATCCTCAACACACAAAAAAACAGCCTTAACCTCTTAGTAAACCAATACAGAAATATAGGTCGAGGGTTTTGTGTGGAAAATTGTTTCACATGTAGGACAGATTTGTTGAGAGCTAAGAATTTTGATAATGGACCTACGGGTGAAAGGTTTGGGTGACTTGTGGCATCTGCGAAGAAGATTCAGTGATAACTAGCCCTCAATCATGCCCCGTCGTCCTTCAATACGTGCAATAAAGACTTTTGAGTTCACCAACAATAGGCAGAATCTCTACATACGACATCAAGCTGGGACGTCATTATATAGAATCTGCCCGTACATAGACACAACTGGACAACACAGTGAGTTCGTTGTGTAGCAGTTCTATCCCGGTGTTCCTTCACTTGCGTACAATCAATATGACTTGTTTCAGTTTTTTGTCGTAGTGTATTCAGACTCGGCTCAGTAGTTCTGTAACAATTCCGCTTCGGGAATATAGAGGCTATTATCACTACATGGTCAATCGGTATATTGGGACGGCCAATCGGTATACCAGGGAGATTATGCACAGGCTCGGGTATGCGTGCGTGCGTGCGTGCGTGCGTGCGTGTGTGTGTGTGTGTGTGTGTGTCTTAGACACGGATTCCAAGGAGTGGTCTCTAAATCAAATAATAAGTAAAATGCCGCCGTCATAACTCAGCGCGGTGGTTTTGTCAGATTGGCGGGTCTGGTTACAGATCCCACTTAACCCCGGGGTCAGACAAACAAAAGGTCTGCCTTGCACTGGGATGTATATTGAATGTAGTTATGTTTCTAGTGAGCGATACAACGCCATGTGCGATATTAATTGAGATGTTGGAAGATGTACCAGAAGTCCAATGGGGTGAGGTAAAAGTAAAGAGTCGGTTTGAAACGGGGAACAGTGAGAAGGTTTGGCATCTTTCTGTTCACATGACGCAGATGGTGTTTTCCACAGCTAATCCTTTCTGACATGTCCATTGAGATTTTAAATGCATCAGTACAACAGAGGTATACAGGTAATTTATTTAATCTGCCATAACTGATATTCAAGAAAATCCACGCGTTGTCACGCACTGAAACACAATACGTGCATTTAGAAGAAGCACCAATGCATTTGTCAACACTTGCTTCGGTTATTACGAAAGGGCCCCTTTCTCCAGTTACCAAAAGGCCAAACTACTCCCAATATTCCCTTTGTACACAACACGGGTATCAGGAAATCAAAGACGTAACCACAGGACAATGTCAACACGGTGTTCATACGGTACAAGTTGTGTCATGTGATATATCACATGTATGTAAAAAGTTAGTCTTAAGTTAGGACACATTCCATTTATTTTACGAGATATGTCCCTGCCGTCTAAGATTTATACCATAGTCGAGGAATCATGTTCATGCTTAGTCATTTGATGAAGAAGATCTTGTCAGCATGATTAGCGCCAGACCACGATGCTTATATTCAGACTTGAATTGATACTATACCACCTGCATACCGGGATGTCCAACGAGGTACCAAGTCATGTATTCTGTCAATAACACAACAGAAATACCACCCACATGAACAACTATCATACTACAACTGAATTAATTGCTCACACTTCACATCAAGCCACACATCAGCCGTCTGTTATCACCCCAACCCATTGTACAGACAACTAGATATGACAAAGGCGGAAAACGCCTAAGACCAACAACGCTTTTGACTTCGGACGTTCTCCCACGATAGTTGACAAGACGTGCAAAACCTGACTCATTCACTCACGAAAGCGTTGATGTTTACATTCTACTCCCCACCCACAACCAACGGTTAAGTAGAAACAGTTAACTCAATCATGTTACCAACAACACAAAACATAACTGCGACCCATATCAAGCTAACATACCACATGCGCCCCCATTGGTAGCGGCTGTCAGTTCATGATGGGTGTTTATAACTTAACTGACCAACTCCCAACCTACCAACCTTCAACACCCACACTCCAACCCCCAACCTACGGCCACTGATGGCAGGGGTAGTTTGTGGAGAGACTGTGGCCGACAACGTCGCCGCTCCTCACACTATCTGTTGACACGGAGCCAGACACAAGAACAGGACGGGGTAGACCTCTGGCGTCGCATTCACCGACACAGCCTCTGTCAACATCGACATACATCCTCAACACAAAAAACAGCCTTAACCTCTTAGTAAACCAATACAGAAATATAGGTCGAGGGTTTTGTGTGGAGAAATAGTTTCACATGTAGGACAGATTTGTTGAGGGCTAAGAATTTTGATAATGGACCTACGGGTGAAAGGTTTGAGTGACTTGTGGCATCTGCGAAGAAGATTCAGTGATAACTAGCCCTCAATCATGCCCCGTCGTCCTTCAATACGTGCAATGAAGACTTTTGAGTTCACCAACAATAGGCAGAATCTCTACATACGACATCAAGCTGGGACGTCATTATATAGAATCTGCCCGTACATAGACACAACTGGACAACACAGTGAGTTCGTTGTGTAGCAGTTCTATCCCGGTGTTCCTTCACTTGCGTACAATCAATATGACTTGTTTCAGTTTTTGTCGTAGACTATTCCGACTCGGCTCAGTAGTTCTGTCACAATTCCCTTCAGGAATATAGAGGCTATTATCACTACATGGTCAATCGGTATACCAGGCAGATCATGCACAGGGTATATCAATGTGTGTCTTAAACACGGATTCCAAGGAGTGGTCTCTACGTCAAATATGAAGTAAAATGCCGCCGTCATAACTCAGGGCGATGGTATTGTCAGATTGGCGGGTCTGGTTACAGATCCCACTTTACCCCGGGGTCACACAAACAGGCAATCTGCCTGGCACAGGTCTCAGTCCGGGTGTACCCATTCACAAGACGCTATATGTAGGTATGCTCATGAATGTATGTCTTTGTCACAGCAGCTGTAAATCACGAGAGTCAGTTAATAGGGGTACCATCGCAATATCTGAAAAGAATCTACGAGATAAATTAAGATGTGAGAAATGTTTAAAAAAAACTAACCACACCGTGCTTCAAGGAATACCGACAGTCTGAACCCACTCTGCTTCATAGTATCCCAGTCTAAACCAACCCTGCTTCATAGTATCCCACAGTCTGAACCCACCCTGCTTCATAGTATCCCACACTCTGAACCAACCCTGCTTCATAGCATCCAACAGTCTGAACCCACCCTGCTTCACAGCATCCCACAGTCTGAACTCACCCTGCTTCACAGCATCCCACAGTCTGAACTCACCATGCTTCATAGCATCCCACAGTTTGAACCCACCCTGCTTCATAGCATCCCACAGTCTGAACCCACCCTGCTTCACAGCATCCCACAGTCTGAACACACCATGCTTCATAGCATCCAAAACTCTGAACCAACCCTGCTTCAGAGCATCCCACACTCTGAACCCACCCTGCTTCATAGCATCCAACAGTCTGAACCCACCCTGCTTCATAGCATCCAACAGTCTGAACCCACCCTGCCTCATAGTATCCCACAGTCTGAACTCACCATGCTTCATAGCATCCCACACTCTGAACCAACCCTGCTTCAGAGCATCCCACAGTCTGAACCAACCCTGCTTCATAGCATCCAACAGTCTGAACCCACCCTGCTTCATAGCATCCAACAGTCTGAACCCACCCTGCTTCACAGCATCCAACAGTCTGAACTCATCCTGCTTCAGAGCATCCCACACTCTGAACCAACCCTGCTTCATAGTATCCAACAATCTGAACCCACCCTGCTTCACAGCATCAAACAGTCTGAACCCACCCTGCTTCACAGCATCCCACAGTCTGAACTCACCATGCTTCATAGCATCCAACACTCTGAACCAACCCTGCTTCATAGTATCCAACAATCTGAACCCACCCTGCTTCACAGCATCAAACAGTCTGAACCCACCCTGCTTCACAGCATCCCACAGTCTGAACTCACCATGCTTCATAGCATCCAACAGTCTGAACCCACCCTGCTTCACAGCATCAAACAGTCTGAACCCACCCTACTTCATAGTATCCCACAGTCTGAACCAACCCTGCTTCACAGCATCCCACAGTCTGAACCCACCCTGCTTCATGGTATCCCACAGTCTGAACCCACCCTGCTTCATGGTATCCCACAGTCTGAACCAACCCTGCTTCACAGCATCCCACAGTTTGAACCCAACCTGCTTCATAGTATCCCACAGTCTGAACCCGACCTGCTTCATAGTATCCCACAGTCTGAACCCACCATGCTTCACAGCATCCAACAGTCTGGACCCACCCTGCTTCACAGCATCCCACAGTCTGAACCCACCATGCTTCATGGTATCCCACAGTCTGAACCCACCATGCTTTACAGCATCCCACAGTCTGAACCCACCCTGCTTCACAGCATCAAACAGTCTGAACCCACCATGCTTCATAGTATCCAAAACTCTGAACCCACCCTGCTTCATAGTATCCAACAATCTGAACCCACCATGCTTCACAGCATCCAACAGTCTGAACCCACCCTGCTTCATAGTATCCAACAGTCTGAACCCACCCTGCTTCACAGCATCCCACAGTTTGAACCCAACCTGCTTTATAGCATCCAACAGTCTGAACCCGACCTGCTTCATAGCATCCCACAGTCTGAACCCACCATGCTTCACAGCATCCCACAGTCTGAACCCACCATGCTTCATGGTATCCCACAGTCTGAACCTACCATGCTTCATGGTATCCCACACTCTGAACCCACCATGCTTCATGGTATCCCAAAGTCTGAACCCACCATGCTTCATGGTATGCCTAAGATATACCTCTACTATATTCCAAATTAGCCTACGATTTCCCCAGCATTCAGATGACTTTACACAGAGACCATACTGTGACCTGCTTCATGGTACACTATATATATAGTCCTTTCATAGTCAAGACTTCAATTTCACACAACCACGAGATCGAAATGTGTGCTTGTCATCGCCCTTCAATGCTTTCAGCGATCACCTTTCGGCACATTTTGGTGTTCCCTTGCGGGTGAGTGAGCTCCTTTGTACAGTGTGTTTGTCCAGGTCGACCAGGAGGTGTGGGGTAGGTCACGTGACGGCATGTGGGTGGACAATAACATATCATGCTTGTTGACGCTATCTGGTTCACGTTTGTGAATGGACGGCCACAATACAGGTAGGTGTCATGCAATGGCATTATGTTGAACGTAGATCGGTATTGGTGTATGAACGATGAATATATCACATTCCATGCTACAAGGTAGTACATCACTTACGGCGTTAGTACAACATCACACATGGTTTGATGCTAAATGGCTGAGGAGTATTCTAGTGGTTTGTGTGTAACTCGTCTTGGTAAGTATCCGGATTGTGTCATCGCACATTTTATATCGCTCCCTGATACCCCGCCCTAACATTACTCCCCTACTGACTCCTACAACCACGCTCCAACAGTATACAGAGGTGAACTAATCGAGATAGCATTAACCCCGTCCAGGGCTCGCCCTGGGCATTATGAGGAAGCTGGGTGTGCAGTATGATAATTGTATCAAACAGGATCTATTTTCAGCAAAGTGATCTGAGCGATATTTAGAAACGACAGCTTTAGCACTCAGATTGCCTTGAGAACCTGCAGAAGCAGGGTTATTCCTCTGTCAAATATACAAAGGTTGACTGATAAGTTAGTTCTAAGCCTCGTAGAGAAGGAATTGACCCGTGAAGGGGTAGAATAGGTCTTCAGCAACCCACCCCTGCCGTAAAAGGTGACTATGCTTGTCGCAAGAGACGACTAACGGAATCGTGGGGTCAGGCTCGCTAATTTCGTTGACACATGTCATCGATCCCAATTGCTTGGGTCGATGCTCATGATTTTAATCACTGGATTGTCTGGTCCAGACTCGAAAAATTACAGACCGCCGTCATATGGCTGGAATATTGCTGAGTGCGGCGTTAAACAACAAACAAACAAACAAACAAAAGAGAAGGATTTGGATAATGTTTTTTGATCACTGCACGTTACTCCAGTTTGCCCATTTCCCAAAGGTCACAGATCCTTCCTTTTTTTACTGACTTGTAACAGCGAAACACTTGTTGGTGTTTCTGTGGTTATGCCTCTGTGACATCATGTACCAATCAGTACCATAAAAAACGATAAAGATTGATTGACATCATGTCATGTCCACACAAAGAAGAAACTATTTCGTTATTCCTTCTATGTGGGGCTTAGAACGTCTCAACCCTACTACATGCAGAAGAACATCAATGTCTACCCTAGTATCAACTGTTCACGCTTGAAAGAGAATCATTTTGATCTTATTGAAAAGTCACTTACGGATCTTGTGGATGAGTGAGGGTTTTTTATTCAGTGACCCGAGTCTACATATATCTTCCTGAATATACAACGCGCGATGGGGTTTATCTGTGTGTGTGTTGTGTTTTTACGTTCACAGGTGTGTTCACAGGTGTGCCACACAGATGTACATCGTACACATACCCTAACAAGCACTAAAGTGCATTGCCGCTGCCACCCGTGAAGACTCGGGGTAGAATGGGTCTTCAGCAACCCATGCATACCGTAAAAAGGTGACCATGCTTGTCGTAAGAGGCGACTAACTGGATCGGGTGGTCAGGCCCGCTGACTTGGTTGATGCATGTCAACGTATCTCATTTACGTAGACCGGTGCTCATTATGTCAATCACTGGATTGTTACAGAGCGCCGTAATATCGCTGGAAAATTGCTGTGTGTGGCGGTAAACAATATACAAACAAACATTGTCGCTGATAGTTATGTGGGTTGACTGACCAGTTGGTCTCTCGGGTTGGTTGGTTGACTGACTTGTTACAATTGGTCTGTATCATACGTTTTAAATATGTACCTTAATAACTAGATTACTGAAGGATTGGATATATGATAGTGTTAATAGTTTATGAATGTTGAGCGGGCTCCCGTGAAGATGCAGGTTAGAAAAGGCGACTTATGGTATCGTGTGGTCAGGCTCGCTGCCTTTGTTGATGCATGTCATCGTATCCCAGTTGTGTTGATATATGCTCATGATGTCAGTCACTGGATTGTCTGTTCCGGACTCGATCAATTACAGACCGCCGTCATATAGCTTGCAAATTGCTGAATGCGTCGTTAAACAACAAACAAACAAACAAAACAAACAAGTTGAGCGGGTATCGAACCAAGTCTCTTTCCATAAAAGCCAAAGCGTTGAGCCCCGACCAGTCTGTCACACTTGGTATGGGGGATCTGTAGATATTTTGCTGATAAGCCCATGTAATCCTCCCCGTCACGTGCTGTCGTGTTGTGTAAACACCTCGCTACCCGCAGACGGGATCCCCCCGACCATCGGTAGAATGTCTTCACAAGTGATGGAATCCGTAGAAACATTTCATCATCAGTGCAGGGACGGGTTGATTGATGTGAGGCCAGGATGACGGATCGAGGATGGGTGATCGGTGTGTGGTTGGTTATGATTTCCACATCTTTATCATTTTGTTCTCATTCTATAATATTCAATTGGCCGAGAGATCTTATATGCGAGTCCAAGTTCCGTTGAGAGACCTTTTTAGGAAAACGGTGGTAGCCCAGTTGTTAAAGCATTCGATTCCAAACTTGGGTAACTCACTCACTCACTCAAACCGGTTGAGTAACAAACATGTTTGGTTATATTGATGATAGAAAATAATGTTTGGCTGATATTTTAAATGTTACTATGAAAATAAGACACGCTATTTTGTGAATGTAGGAAATATTAATCTACATACTTGAAAGCGTGTTATAATTAAGTGACGTAATGGATTGTTGACTGAGATTTGGTATATGTAAAACCCGAGTAGGTTATAAAGTTACTGTAGAATAACATCAGTACAGTTACTAGTATTCCGGTGCATGGTGACATTCATGTTTTTGTACTACCTCTACATAAAGAAAGCAATGTGTCCAAGGATATACGTATACCTATAACAAATAATGCCACAACATCATTTATTCTGAATCAATTGTAAATGGTATGTGAAATATTCAATAATCCTTTATCCGACCAACCTAGAGTTGAAGCCACTTTCTAGCCATACAACACACTGCCGTCGATATACTTCAAACAGTATAGTGCTCCGGTTCCTGTGCGGTACTTGTTACTGTGACGGTGAAACATACATAGTCTATAGACATCTGTCAATCATGTCACCTGTAATACCGACCGTACAGCGATAAGGTGCGTGTCCTAGAGGCTTACTTCAGTATATGGTCGTCCGTCTCGCCGAGTCTGTCTGGCGTGTTGAGTGTACGTCCTAACTAGGTCAGCGGGTGGGGCAACTCGTGTTACCGGAGATATATTTTGTGGGTACGACCAAGAACCAAGAAGCGCGCGTGCTGCATGAACGCTATGAACATAAGGTAAGCTTACAACATTATATGTACTGTCTTCATAAGAGAAGCAGGCGGCGGGTTCTGCAGCAACTTTCCTTGTAATTTTCGTATGTTCAATTGTTTATGGTTTTGTGGGCTCTTGATGCCGTTAATGGATCTGACCTGTGTTTGAAGTACTTAGTGCGGTGTGTAGGCCCTAATGGTTGTTTTAAGATAGGAATGTGTGCATTAGGCCATGTATTTCACGCATCACCCTGTGGTATTGGGAGATGTTGGTTTCTATATTATTTTTAATTCATTAAATAGCAAGTAAGTGTTTAAATACTATTGATAGGATATTATTAACGACTTGGACGAGTGGTTTACTGAGACATAATTATTCATTGACAAAAATTATTGTTAGGTAAGTGCTGACGAAATAGCGAAAGAAAATTGTTTTAATATATAAGGGAAAATTATGAAAAGAAATGTTTATATACAACTGAAAATGTCGCCCCATGGAACAAGCATTTTTCGTTTTGTGTATCGACGTGAGTGAGTATGTTTTTACGTCGTTTTAGAAATATTTCAACAATATCACGGCGGAGGACACCA